GTTTATTCATCATTTCTGTCTCTCTCTCTTAAAGCCAGATTTGTCAGTGACTTATTTTTTTTCCTGTTTCATCATCATCCTGCTCATCATCACTGAGCTCTGCAGCCATGTAGCTCCACTCGCTGCGTTCATGGCCTCCAGACAGAAGCAGAGAAGTGATGGGACTCACCGTGTGCCACCACCCAGCCTATTCCAACCTCTTTGGCCTTTTTAATGGCCAGTTTCATGCAGAAGTTTCCCACCACGGGTCCCAGCAGGTTATTCCCATCCACCAGCGCTGTGGCAGCACTTTCCTTCTCCACCAGCGGCTCCCCTTCTACTGCACAGATTCCTGTCTGGATGTCCTTCAGGTACATATCTGCATGGAGAGACGACAGATGGAAACAAAACGCACATTTCAGCCCAGATTCCCCCCAAGATGCCAAACTGTCCAACTCAAAAACTCCAACATTCCGGATATTTCCAAGCTTTGACTGACCCATCCTGTTGAGTCCGTGGCTGTAGTGGCCCCTGCAGTCCGCTGTTACCAGCACCTCAGCCAGGCTTCTGGCATGGTGGGGTTTGGCCCCCACCGCCGTTAAACACTTCTCAATGAAGCTTTGCACCTCCTGCTGGCTGATGACACAACTGCAGAGCAGGAAGTAAACCAGAAAATCACAAACATCTCAACACAGGATATAATTACTGCTTCTTTGGTCTTTTTTATTTAATGATTGACTTTTTGGGATTTAAATCTGAGTAAAACCTAAGAAAAAAAAAATGTAATGATTTATAATTATCATTTATTATTATTTCATAACAAATGTTCATGTTAAAGAAAAATAAAATGTTAAAAAAGATTTTAAAAAAAGGCATATAAACATGAAGCTGCTGACATTATGAGCTGAAAGCAGCATCATAAATATTTCAGGTCCTTCTTGTTTTATTGTTTTATTTTTGTAGAAAACAGAAATGTTTTGAAAGCTGAAGCAGGAAATGATGCTGATTTATCGAAACTCCAAACCTGAGAAACTTAAAAAAAAAGAAAAAACTGGTCCTTCTTCTGCGTGTTCGGAGTTCCGTACTTTTATCTTCACGGTTCTTTCCAGTAGAATATTTAGATCCATGGTTTCAGCCGCTGCACAGAGAGTCATATTGATGCCTCCCGGGGGCCACGGCTGAAGCTGGGGGCCGGGGGCCGACGCAGAACAAAGCCTCAATAGAAACCGGAGCAATGAGGAGGTGAAGGAGGGCAGAGCTCCATGTTTCAGAGAGAAGCCGGCGTGTTTCAGCTCTGCTAGAATAGATTTCTAAACTAGACTTAATTCTAGATGTTTTCATTTGTTGCCATTAAAGCTTTACTGAGTTTGTTTTTAAGGAGAAGATCTTCAGTGAATCATTTGCTGATTCCCTTCTGCTGCGACACAGAGACCTTCTGGGTTGATGTGAAACGGTTCAGATTAGATTAGATTAAGAGTTTCTACCAACAGAAGGTTTGATTGAATTTAGGCCTTAGACTGGGGCATTCTATGCATCAATATCTAATCATCTATATCAGTGTATCGCAGCTCTGGCTATGTGTTTGGGGGGGGGGATTCCTCTGCTGAAATCTCATTATTTAAAATGTTTAAAGGTGACATCATAGTTTCTCTTCTCTCAGCAGAACAGAAGCTTTAGGAAGATTAGTGACGTTTTTAAGGTTTGACTCGATTTATTTAAGGAGGACTTTTAAATGTGGTCAGCAGACAGTCAGGTGACAGTCAGGGGCCATGGGGGCTGACTGGCCGGGCCCTCCTGCTCTGAACGGAACACTCACAGCAGCGACATCAGATCATAGAAATATATTTGTTAGAAGAAACATTTTCAAAGTTTCAAAATCTGCCTTCCTTCATGTTCTTCTGTTATTTAGCACCGCTGCAGAATATACTGATGTTTGGTTCTGACAGATCTATGTAAC